GGCTGATGCCACAACAGTGTCAAAGAAGTGAGATTTATCACAGTTCAGTTTAGGAAAGTTCACTTGCATCCATGATTCAATTTTGGTGAGACAGTTGATCAGGATGGAGTGAGTTGCAGTGACAATGAATGTAGTGGAGATATAGAGCTGGATATAATTGCATTACTTATTATGAAAATGGACACCAAGATGACAGATGTTTACATGTAGAAGCTAAATCCTTTTAATGGCATTTTTTGAAAGGCTAAAGATGCTCGGAAACTCATGGTGGAAATGTATTTAAGTAGGTTGTGTGCATTGGTGTGGCAAAATGGCTCTATAGTGCCCCTATAAAATTTCAAGGAATTAGCCTATGCAGTACAAGATAGTACAATTGGTAGGCACATGTATAATGTCCAGATTTAGCCTACATGAAATCCTCAACACAACAGGTAGTCAGCCATTTTGAATTCACTTTGCAATTTGGTGCCATTTCCAGGTAGGCTAGTGTACTAGTACTAACAAAAAAAAGTAATAAGATTTACTTCAATTTGGGTCAGTGCAATTTACCACTATTCAATTAAATTTTATTTGTATAGCGCCAAATCATAAGTTATCTTAGGACACTAAAGCAGGTCTAGACCAAACTCCTTATAGCATTATTTACAAAGACCCAACAGTTCCCACTATGAGCAAGCACTTGGCGACGGGGGCAAGGAAAATTTCATTTTAAGAGGCAGAAACCTAGGACAGACCCTTCGGCTTTAGGTGGGTGGTCGTCTGTCTCGACCTGTTGGGGTGAGAGAAAGAGATAGATAGAGAGAAAGAGAGAGAGACAGAGAGAGAGAGAATGGAAAGTTGTTAAAAAAATGTATGTCCGTGGCGTCGAGTTTTGATTCATTATAATCATTTTATAATGCATTATAATCACAGTTGTAATGCATTTAACATTAAAACATTGAGCATTGAAACACTCATGGGATGCAAACACCAACTACAGGGAAAAAAGAGCAAGGTTCTATCCAGGTATTATCAAGTTTAGGCACAAACACAGTCACAATGTTAATGTTGATGTTAATCTTAATCCTACCAAGCAGCAGGAGGATAGGACTGACCTTTGGATATAACGTTAGACGAACTCTGAACTGCAACCTCACCCCGACCTGTGAGAGGCAGCAATGTGCCGTCAGGTATCTAAACGTTAACTCAGTCTGCCGGAAATCCACCAGAGGAAGAGGAGGAAGAAAAAGTCACTTTGTACTCCTTAACCAAGGTCTTTTATCCCTTATTGTATTACTTTATGTCATACTTACTTTTAAACATAAGGTATACGTAATGCTACATGCATAGTTAGGTTGCTGTGTCCAGTCGTGACTTGTGAAATTTGACCTTGTTAAAAAACGTTAGCTGTCGTCAGCAACCTGTTGCTAGGTAGCTAACCTTAGCTAACGCTAGCCAAACATATTGGGTGACATCAAGTGCTTCTTTGCATGTAGCTAACGTTAAATTAAACAGCACTGTTGGGTGGATTAGAAATGCTACAGGAGACGCTACAGTGTCATTGATATAAACGCTGTCAGTAACGCCCAAATTAGTCTAACGTAAGTTAGTAAAAAACTTTAACTAAAGTTAGTAAAGTTACTGTGGTAACGTTTCTCGAGTGAGGATAAGTTGTACTATAACAGTTATACCCCCCCTCCAGTCAGAAATCAGTGTTCTTGTTCCTACAGGGTGCTGTTAATGATGTTCTGTGCAAGAGTTTGACACTTATGAAAGGATGTTTTTCAACGATTAATTCTGCAGAAAGTTACCCTTTCGCTGGCGCTCCATTGAAAAATGATTTTAAGGGCGGGCTTACCAGCCAGGATCTGCTGACATCAAAATAGTGTGGAATAAGTCCTATCCTGGTCCAGATCAAACTTCATCCACTGAGAATGGACTTTACCGTGTGTGCGAGGCATCAGGCATGTGATCCCGGCCTGTATTCACACGTCAGAGTAGCTTTAAATTTCAGCATTTTAAGCAAGATTTAAGCACAGATATGTGGTGTCCTCCCACAATAAATTATTAACATATCTGTGTACAAAAGTTGATTAAGTTAATAGTTTCTTTCTAAATTAGATTCTTTAGGTAGAAATGTTATTTTGTACAGGTGTTTTCACATGATGACAGCATTCATTTTGTACCCAAGGGAGATGTCACAGGTCCCGGGTCATGATCCGGCCTTCATGGAGGCCATCAACCAAAACATGCGTGTTCCGGAGCACCTGAGTGTCAATGTGGGGCAGCAGTGGCGGGAGGAGGAGGGACAGGATGCCATAAGGAGGCCTGAGGAGCCTCCACCTACCTACACCATGCAGGTCCCTGATAGGCTGACATACACAGGTATGAGGGTAATGGTAAATGGACCTGTA